CAAGTCAATACACTTCTCGATAGTGGCCTCTGATGTTGTAAGAGATGTAGCGCTACTTTTGTTGGACACCATCTCAAGTAGGGAGTGTATATCATGTTTTAGTGATACAGCACCATACTTTGCCTTACTCTTTTTCCCTTGACTGCTAGTGCCAACGCCATCAATTGACTTTAGTTTTTTTAATGATGGCTCAGGAAACCTAACAGAATGTGCATGTTGCAAGATATCATCGCTATCGTCACTCTTCTCATCATTAAGGTTACCAAATTGTTCACCCTGATCATAACCATAAAAATTATTTATTTCATCATCTAAATCTAATCCAATCCCCGACATCTGTTCTTGGCTTGCTGCTCGTGCTCTCTCTCCAGTGGCAACAATATCAGCAAACAACGCATCATATCGAAACCATATAAGAGAAAGATCTTTATTCCTAAATTTTTTGTATTTAACATTCTCCTGTAACATAAATTATTAATTAACTTAAGAAAATAATAAAGATTAACAATGAAATACTTTAAAAAAGACATATAGAAGGGCGTGAGATTTGTACCTTAATTTTTTGCTCCCACCAATCATCATCCGCAACAATTATTCTTTTGTTTTCATCCCATCCTAACCCTGTCTCCCCCTTTATCAACTGCTTAAAAAGAGTCCATTCGGCGTTCATACAATCCCAATGATTTTTCATTTGTTTTTTATCATACGATTCTTCCGGTCTTCTTATTAAACTCATTAACCATATTTGTCCATTCTATTATCGTCGGAACGTGATCTCTACAATTCTCATGATGCCGACTATTGTCAAATTATTCGGTCCCTAATTCACATTTATTTTATCTTGTTCACCAGCTCATACTAATTTCTATTACTCTGGGGTATAACGTTTCCTTCTGGTAATCACGTTGGAGTCACCAACTTATTTCTCGAAAGAAAGATATGACTTTATGGCTTATACTCTTCTATTGTTTCAAGGCATGTCTCCTCTTGTCTTTTTACTTCACTTGACTATAGACTCTATAATCGTATCATATTTTGATTTACCGTTATCACCCATAAATCACATCTTACTCATGATACTTTATTTATTCTCTTCTTATTCTTCGGGTAATATTTTTGTCTATTACTTTATTCTGAAAACTTCAACAAAACGTTCTTTCACTTTTAGCTCCCCTTGCTTCATCTCACTGGCTCTTCGGAATGCCTAACATTCTCCTTTTTTTTACTAGGGGCTGGAGTCATACTAAGGTAAATATTTATCCCTTCTAGGATTTCAGTGCCTATCTTCTGAAATTTCTAAACAGTCTAGTATTCATATCTGACTATACTATTCTAGAGTTCACCATATGGGTGTCTCACAAGGAGATCTATTACCACATTTGTACTATCTTCGAAAATGTTAGCTAATGATAACAATCCATCCACCATTTTTAGGTTACTATAACCCCAGCTGGATCCCGATATCCTATCCTTCTCTTAAACTATATCTGTTGGCTCCCATAAGGCATAATTAAGATGAATATGGCCAATTATATATAACTCTATTACTGTTGAAAGTAACTCATAATACTTGTATTTCTCTGTCTGAATTGCAAATACTGATAATCTTCATTAACTAGGTACCTCATACCCTTCTTCATCTTGCTTCTTTTACTTGCCGAAACTTGTATCTACCTTCTGATTCTCTTATTTCTTTTTACCATATGGGTGGATAAATATTCTTGCCTTAGGTCTCCTTATCAAGAAGCTTACACATCTTAGTACACACATGATTTGCTGAAGACCTCACATTTACTCATCATAAGCATGATGCAAAATCGAGTGTCTCTCACTTAACTCTTCCACAACCACATTCAATTTCTTACCAACTATCTTTCTGGATGTAGGTATCGTTGTATTACAAATAAAATAAAATTTAAGAGTTTGAATTCTTACAACTGTGCTCTACCACATGATCTAGAGTAAGAAGAAAGAGTGACAGTCCTAAATGCCTTGTAGCTTCATGCTTATAAGTGCGGTGCACAATACACCCATAAACAAGACTATATTAGACACGGTTATAGATTCCCTAGGACATAACTACTTTGATACTACTTTTGTCATGACCCAAACTGTAGGGTCTCGACGGGCACCCGGTGCCTAACTCAATCGAGTACCAACGTAATGTATCCTTCTTATCATACTATCATGGGTAAATGAACCGAAAAGGCCATTATGAGGTAACTAGAATTAAACATAAGAGAATACTCGACATGAGATGATCTAACATGATATATAAGCTTATGCATGCTACATACAAGCTCATAAGCCCGACATGATTATTTGTATACTCAAAACATAAGCCGACAAGGCCATACAAATATCCATATACATGACATCTGTCTACAAGCCTATACGAGTACATAAATGTCATAAAGTTCGAGATATGGCCCCGACATACTAATGTAATGACCCGACCGATCGTTTTGAGCATTTACGCTCATTTTAACTATTTGAAGTCTTGAATAACTTCCTACGAGGTATTATGACTTATGTGTAAATGACCCCGAGAGAATTGTTGCTAAGAAAATTAAGGTTTTGTGGTACTGAGGTGGATCAATTGGTACAAAAGTTATAGAACTTTTTGGGTTGAACAATAAACCGAGGAGTAAAGGAAATATTTTGCAAGCAAAAGGGTCATTTCTGCTGCCCACTATGCGGTTGCAAAATCACTCTGCGGATGGATCTTCCCTGGGCAAGGATCTTGCCATAGATATATATATTGAGGGATGGATCTTCCCTATGCATGGATCTTGCCCGAAGTATTTATATTGAGGGATGGATCTTCCCTAGGCATGGATCTTGCCCGAAGCATTTATATTGAGGGATGGATTTTTCCTAGACATGGATCTTGTCCGAATCATTGATATTTGGGGATAAATCTTCCCCTGTGCTGGATTGCCTTATATAGTACTGAGTGACTGACTGTCAGTTGATGGATATACATATATATTTGGGATGGATCTTCCCTGGGTTGGATTGGCCATATATAGTACTAAGTGATTGAGTATTTTAGATCGTGAGTACACAGAGTTTTCACTAAGGTGAATCACATACAGTATGTATATTGACATGTAGATACAAAGATGTCATATTCCTCACATTGTTCGGAATTGATCTATTTTATTTGTACTGAGAGTAACTGTTGAACTTGAAAGCATGCCTACATTTCTGTATTGTTATTTCTATACTGGACTGTACATGCTGAGCTCGTTACTACTTTTAGCCCAAAGGTTAGTCTTGTTACTTATTGAGTTGGTTGTACTCATACTACACTTTGCACCTCGTGTGCAGATCAAGGTGCTCCCGGATACGGCGGTTGCTAGATTTCAGAATTTATTATGTGGAGATTATCAAGGTAGCTGCTTGGCATCCGCAGACTTTGACTCCCTTCCTTTTTAGTTATTGTACTGTTTTATATTTTAAGATAGTGATTTTATCAGTCAGACCTTGTATTCATTTAGATGCTCATGTACTCAGTGAAACCGAGTTTTGGGAGTGTTTATATATGTATTTGTGAGTTTTCTTCCGCAAAATTTAGATATTATGTTTTCCAAACTTAAAGTATATGGTGGTTTATTAAGATTGTCGGTTTCCCTAGTATTGAGATAGGCACCATCACGACAGGTGATATTTCGGGTTGTGACAACCAATCAATACATGTCCAAATCATACTGACCAGATAGGTAAATCCGGAGCAAATGCAGTACACCAACACCTTCAGCGGAGCTGATAGCCTACTAGGAGGACTCTCAACCTGTCTATCGGGACCTGCGGGCCTGAAACACATTGTCCCCAGACAAAAAGGACGTCGGTAGAAATAAAGTACCGAGTATGTAAGGTATGACAATAGTATATATAAGACGTGAACGAAACATGGAGTAAAGAACTCAACCTGTAATTCTGAATAGCTATGTGAATCATGAAAAATTTATAATGTCATGCATGTGCGTATAAATATCATACCATGCATAGGTATATGAGTACATAACATCATCAAGTCTCTGAGGGCATTCCATCATATCATCTCAGCCACTGTGGACAAAATCATCAACGTATACCAGTTGATCAGGTGGTGGTGCGTATATAACGCCATAACCTTTAACACATACCCCATATACATATACTATACGTGTATATAACACCATCTGGTCATGGGTCAATATACATGTATAAAATGAATACAATACATAATGAAATAAGTCACTTAGATCTCTCAGAATGTCATGAGACCCATGAACATATGATATGATAGTAGGACATATGGTGAATCAAGAACATAGGTAACCCTAGTACTTCTAGGATAGAATCATTCGTGAAAGTGGTGTGCTTGCTCGTTTCGTCGTATCATATGGATTATGACAAAAAAGAAAGAAGGGATAGCCTTAACATACCTTAACTCAATTGAATCCTTAATACTTTCCAAGCAATTCTTCAAACAACTCAACTCAATCTACCATAGTATAAGGAGATTCAATATCAGTGTTGAGTAAAGGCTAACTCCGCAACTTAAACTAGTAGCTCGTTTATGTAAATTTGGGCCGCATCTCCCCAGTAACAATAGCCTCCTCCAATACCATATACCAACAACAATGACCATAAAAATCCAACAATACATAATTATCAATAACAAGACACCATATAACAAAAACAAGTCGCAATTACTTCACGACGAGCTACAAGCCCAATTGGAATCTGTATACCCGATATCACCCCTTGTAGACTTCTTACTTTATCTTACTAGTATAATTAAAATGATATTGAAGTCATTCATCAATGATTACAACCTTATACCATATATTTATAACAAAGAAAACAATCTACAATTCCAATTATCCTCAATTAGCAACTTTATTCACTAGTTCATGTCTAGTCCATCCATTTAACTTAATCAATGTCAACATAACCTTAAGAACATGCTAGAACACAATATACATACCAACTACAATAGCTTCAAGTCGAAATCCAAGTTATATTTAGCTTACAACAACCCTCAATGGCAATACAATACCATAGAAGTGACTTAAGCTAATATTCACTTCCAATCTCAAGTTTCTTGTGCTTCTTTCACCAATTCACTTGATAAACATATAGACGTGCATAATAACAGAAACCATATCATAATCAAGTTATTTTCCCCATTTTCCATCCATTTGTAGTTCATGGAAATAACCTTTCCAAAACAGTCCATTAAAACCTATAACATCTCAAATTATTTCAAGTCTCTTCTCAACTTCAAGTACATGTAGTAGGATTTTATACTCACCTTAAATAGTAGAAAAAACACAAAATTTCAGCCAAGCACAACCCACAACTATCCTCAATAATACCACAACACTATAGGTGTTGTATTCTCTCCATGAATCAACTTTTGGTGTTCAAGTTGGTGTGTAAACACTTGTAGTTTACCTTTAAAATCTAATATATACGAAGGAGGTATTGATTATTACCTTAATCAACAAGAACAACACGAAATTTGAGGTTACTTGCCTTCAAAACAGTCACAAGACGAAGAACTACGATCTAGCAAGCACCACGGGATTTCTAGCGTTGGATTCATATTTTCATCTTAGGTTCTCACCCTAGAATCACAGAGGAACCATTGGAGAGTATTTAGGAACTGTTTTGGACCATAAAAATGAGTTAAAATGA